AAAAAAAAAAAAAGAAAGAAAGAAATCTCAAGATGAAACGCTTTAGGTCAGCTGGATTCATGTTGCCACTATCCGGCTGCTGGCTACTGTTACTCTGCCCTGTCACCAGGCCCTGTGCTGGCACTTCTGCATGTATCCTCGTTTAATCCTCACGACCATTGCCTTCGGAAGTAGTTATTATTCTCCCCACTAACATGTCACTGATGACCAGAGAAGTAAAGAAACTTGCCCCTAACACCCAGCTATCAGGCAGCAGAGTCATGTCAAGACAGAAGCTGACAGGTTCTAATTCCAAAGCCAGCATCCTTCCTACCCCTCCACAATGACAACAGAGACAAGACTTGCCAGCCAGAGAGCTCTGTCCTCTAACACCTTATCTCATCACTCCCAACAAGCTCACAAGGAAGGAACTATTATTTTCCCTATCAACAGATGAGGAAACGGAGGCTCTTGGCTGCTATGGTATTTCCTGATGCTTAAGGTGTTTCTAATACTTTCCATGAATGTCCCTTGAACAGATAGCAGAACCCTTGAGGGACAGTGAGCCTGCACAATTTATTTTCTGGGCTTGGCCTTTGAGATATCTTGAGCATCTATTCCCAGCCTCATGCTTTATGGTGGCCATTACGTCCACTCCTGGGGCTGGGGGAAGACTGGAGGTACATGGAAATGCTTACCATCTCCCCCACACCACCAACCCCATTGTTACTTATTAAGCATTTACTGAGTGTGGACAAAGCAAGGGAACAATTGTGGAAGCTCTTGCGCCCCAACCAGACCCCATTTCTGGGTCGGTGCCTCTATTGCCCAGTCCCCGTGAATTGGGAATGTCAGCTGCTAACAGCACAGACCTGCCACCTTCTTCTCCAGGGAATCACCCTCCGCCAAATGGGAGCTGCTCTTTCCACAAAGACATAAACTCCCTACTCCCACCCTTACAGTCAAGGACGAACTGAGAGAGAGCACCAAAGGGCAAGCTTCCTGCGTCTTGTGGGCCAACTCTGTGATGTAATTCATGTTCCAGGGGTCCTGCAGGGTCAGACTGAAGCCCATCCTTGCCCTTGCTCAGCTCCTTCCCCTGCCTCCTGCTGCCTCCCTCACTCCCTTTCTCCTGAGAGCACCTCCTCAATAAAGTTTGTGCACCCAGTCCCTGTCTCAGGCTCTGCTTCTGGGGGATAATTGAAGATAGCCACGTAAGACAGTGCTCCTTGCCCTCAGGGATCTTACACTCTAGTTGGGGAGACAGACCACATACATACAAAAGAATCATCTACCACACCGGGTGGAAAAGGGAGAGAAAACAGTGACTGAGATGCTGGAAGACACCCCTGGAGCTGGGTTGGTGGAGAAAGGCTGAATGGAAGAAGGGGGCTTTATGGATGAAGGGTAGGTAGGACTGGAAATGGTGAGGAAGGAGGCAAGCTTTCAAGGCAGGGAGAAAGTTCCAAGGAAATGTCCTGAGACAAGGAAACTCTGTCCCTCCCCTTCCACTTCCTCCTACCCAGTATCCATGACCAGGGGAACTATCCCAGGTCAGTGTGGCAAAGCAGACGGTGTTCTGATGATCCTGATCATGGGTCTGGCACTGTCTGAGAGCATTGAGGGCTGTCAGAGGAAACCAGGTCAGCTGACCTTGAGTCCAGGAATGAGTCACTCAGCACTCAAGCTTTCCTTGAGAGGCCTGGGACTTGGCCCACCTGGAAAGACTACCTCCATTCAGACAAGGGACCAGGCTCCACATACCTGCCGGGCCGTTGGCCTGGGGGCTTATTCACAAGGATTCAATGGTGTAGTAGGCAGCTCCCAGGGCCCCCAGAAGCACAACAACAGTCCCGAGGGCTTGGAGAACGGGAGTCATGAGGACTGGAGGGTTTAATTGAAGGTCTTCTGTAGAGCAAAGCAGAAAGTAGGGGTGTCATGGCATGTCGGGCTTTAGTGCTTACCTACAGGCAGGAGGAAGTGGAAATCAAGCCATCCCCTCAGGATTGCAGGAATACCTATCTCTCCACTATCACACTTCCTCTCAACACTTAATTCAACACCCCTCCAACAAATCCCTACCACAAGACCCCACGGGATCTGAGAACGAGGTGATCCAACAGGCCAGCTGCCCTGGACATTCTGAGGGGAACCCAACTGAGAAAACTGAAATCTGCCATGTGCCAGTCCTTGTGCTAAACGCCTCATGCCCAAAGTCTTCTTCAAGTCTCACAATGACCCGATGAAGTGAAGGTTCTATCACTTCATTCCATTTAGATATGAGGAACCTCAGGAAATAATATATTACACCCACTACAAAGGCAAGGAAAATAGATGATTATGCTAATAATTGTAAGGAAGGCATTCAAACAACGCAATATCCATTTTGATAAAAATCTTACAAAAGTAGGGATTCTTATTTAATGTGAACACGTATATTTAAAACCAAGAGCCAATATTACACTCCACTGAGAATTGCAAAGATTACAGATGCAGGTACTAAAATTTGGGCAGAATTAAGACTACATGATTTGCGCTGGCTAGACTGGGTTCCTGCCTTTCCCCACTCTGCTAGCAAATTCTGAGTCTTGTTTGCCTTTTCCTCCATTTAGAATGCTTTGCCTTTTCATTTTAAGCCACTGAGGACTCCAAGATCCTTCTGGACACAGCTCATGTACTGCTGACACTCCAAGTTCACCTGGACTCCAATTCAGAAGCAAGCACTCTCGATCTGAAACTCATGGAAACTCTCCTATGGGACACACAGTGCTTTCTGTCTTGCATCTTAGTTTACGAAGGCACATGTCTTAGCCCACCACAGAGACTGTAAATATCTTAAGAGTAAGGCTCCCTGTTCTGGCTTCCCTCGTAGTGCGTAGTATCCTTTGCAGAGTGTTTTCCCTCAATAACACCTGTTGATTCTAAGCCGCTACAAACCCATGACACACTTTGTCAGCAGGGAGGGAAATCAATATGGTGGCAGCCAGGCCTTTCTTGATGAGACTTACTAGGTGGCAGTGTATTTTTGGCTCCAAGCATGTTTTCCCCACATACCCCTGGTGTCTGCTGGCTTCTCTTCATATGTAGCAGAGAAGGAGTTTTTCAACTATGGAGAGAGGGGGTTGGGTGGGGAAGGGGCTGGGAAGAGGAACAGGAAGAGGGTGAGGATGAGTGGGCTTTGTTCCAGGGTAAGGGTATGAGGTCTCCAAGTGGAAGAGCCTCTTCTGTGGAGATCTGTGAGGCCCTGAGGTGTGGGGGGTGGAGGCTCCCTCCTGGCCCATGCATATAACCTAGCAGCCCTGAAGAACGGGCAACACACTCAGTCTGTTCCATGACCTGGATAGGATTCTTCTCTGAAGGGCAGCAGCAGCCATGACCTTTCTCCCAGTGGCTATGTGGAAGAGGAAGGAAGGGTGATGCCATGGGGGCTGCCACTAACAGACCGGACCGCGGGCACGTCTCATGTGGGGACTCCCAGGAAAGAGCCTGACGTACTCTGAAGTGGGCTGAGGTCTTGCTATCATGTGGAGGGGGCATATGAGTTTCAGTCAGTTTTTACCACTACATTCTGAGGAAAATTCATATGCAGGTCTAGAACCTAAAGTCGCCTGTCTAGGAGGGGGCCACGGGGGTGAATGGCCAAGTTTTAACCACAAAACTCCTGAGCGACACAGTTTATAAAGGGCATGAGGGAGTGTGCTCTAAGGAAGGAAGGGCACCTCTGGAGAAAAGAATATTGAAAACCCCGAAGAAGTAACTCCCAGTAAGGAAGAAAACTGGCACCAGAGGGTACATCCAGTCATAAGAGTGCCCTGTCTGTCAAACCCTGGGAAGTGGAGAAAGAGGAGGGAAAGTCTTTCCTGTTGATCTCTGGTAACCAAGAGGAAGTTGTACATGATTGCTATAAGGTCTGGGGGCAGAGCCTGGCCCTGGGAACCGTGTGCCCCGAGGCTGGAGCCCCCCATGCTCGGAACCTGTAGAAGGTGAGGAGGTTTGGGAGTCCTCTCCCTGGCACAGTCTGCCAGTCCTGAGGCAGAAGGACATCAAAGATGCGGTTGTGGTACAGCCCCAGACGACACCAGCAAGCAGAGCTGCAGGGACAAGTGGCACAGATGCAGGACTGTGGGCCCGCGTGAGTCAGAGGCCCTAGGGGGACAGAGAAGGAGAGAGATGAGGGAGGCACCTGTTGGGAGACGGGGGGACAGCCTGGAGCACAGTCCAGGAAGGCTCCACCAACAGCCAAACTGCTCACCTGGCAACTGCAGGATTACCAGAGCAAACCCTAGACTTCTTAAAGGTGTCCCCAAAGATTTGGGACTGAACTACTCAAGGCAGGCAGTTCTCCCACAAAGCGTTCTTTGACCAAACAGAAGAGAAGATTAACCATGTGGGAAAATGGCTGTTTTATAGCCTTGTGCTACAATAATCATGATGGTTATAATGATGATGATGTAATAACCTACACCTGTATGCTCTGTACTTCTCATCATTATTTATCTCATTTCATTGTCACGACAGTCTTGTGAAGGGGGATACTGTTAGTCTCATTTTACAAATAAGGAAAATGAGGCTCAAATAATTTTAGAGATGTGCCCTGGTAGGGAGTAGATTGCAGAAGTGGACTGCAACTCAGGATTTTTAACTTTTAATTCAGTGAAAACTCTTGCCACGGAATTTGCAGGTGACCACCCATGCGTGAGAGGCTGCATCGAGATTCCTGGTTGAGGCTGCCATGTTCTGTTTCTCTAATGGCTATTGCTCCACCCGGAAGACAACGGGCGTTTTGATCCATCTGGAAGACAACGGCTGTTCTACTTCACAGGCCTGGAAACACTTTCCCAAATTTATCTTCCACTTCTGTCCTCCTCTGGTATGGGCCCCAGCAGAACTCAGATGAAGTCCTCTGTTGTGGGGCAAGAGGATCTCTGGCTGGATAATTCTCCTCCTTTTGTCACCCGGCTTCTTGACAGAACTCCAGATTCCTCCAACCCTAAGCTGCGTGAAGCCAGTGATCCACCCAGCAGACTCAGCACACTTTCTGCTTAGACCTGTTCACAACACATACTTCTTCTAGAATTCAAGAGGGGATTCTAAAGGCAAGATTGGGGCTGGGAGCCGTGGCTCATGCCTGTAATTCTGGCATTTTGTGAGGCCAAAGTAGAAGGATGGCTTGAGGCTAGGAGTTTGAGACCAGCCTAAGCAACATAGCAAGACTCCATTTCTACAAAAAATAAAAGTAGCTGAGCATGGTGGTGTGAATCTGTAGTTCTGGCTACTTGGGAGGATCACTTGAGCCCAGGAGTTCAAGGTTATCATGAGATGTGATTGCACCACTGCACTCTAGCCTGGGGGACAGAGTTAGACCCCATCACTAAAAAATAAATAAAAAAATAAAGGCAAGACTTTTCTTTTTTTTAATTAAAAACATTTTGAAATATCAAGATATAATCCCCAGACCACAAAATTCACCCTTTTAGAGTCTTCAGGGGTTTTTCGTATGTTCGCAAAGTTTCATAACCAATGTCACTATCTAATTTCAGAAAATTTTCATCTCCTCCAAAAGAAACCACACCCCATTAGTGGTCACTTCCCATCCCCACCTCCCAGTCCTGACAATACATTTGCCCATTCTGAACATTTCATAAAAAAGGAACCACACAATATGTAGGTTTTGGAAGACTGGCTTCTTTTACTTAATCTAATGGATTTTTTTTTGCTTTTTTTTACGTTAGAGTCTCACTCTGTCACCCAGGCTGGAGTGCAGTGGCATGCTCATGGCCACCATAACCTCGACCTGCTGGGCTCAGGCGATCCTTCCGCCTCAGTCTTCCAAGTAGCCAGAACTATAGTCATGCGCTACCACACCGGGCTAATTTTTTGATATATTGTAGAGAAGAGGTCTCACCAAATTGCCCGAGGTTCAGGTAATCCTCTTGCCTTGGCCTTCCAAAGTACTGGGATTACAGACTTGAGCTACCATGCCCAGCTAGTCTAATGTTTTTAAGGTTTATCTATGTTATAGCATGTATCAGTATACCATCTCTGTATTGCCAAGTGGTATTTCATTGCATTTGATATAACATTTAAAAAATCCATTCATCAGTTGATGGATATTTGGGTTGTTTTCACTTTTTGGTTCTTATGAATGCTGCCACTATGAGCACTTGTATACAGGTTTTAGTGTGGATATATGTTTTTATTTCTCTTGGGTGCATACCCAGGAGTGGAATTGCTGGGTCACATGATAACTTCATCTTCCTTTGAGGAACTGTCAAGATTGTTTCCACACCAGTTGCACCATTTTACATTCCTGCTGGCAGTGTATGAGGGCTCTAATTTCTCTACACCCTCATCAACACTTGTTACTGTCTATCCTTTTAATTATGGCCATTCTAGTGAAAGGCTTGTATTTTCCTGAGACACAATATTATCTGCACATAAAAAGGCTTGGATTTTAGAAAATGAAGTCAGGCATAATAGTACACACCTGTAGTTCCAGGAACTCAGGAGGCTGACATGGGAGAATCACTTGCGCCCAGGAGTTTGAGACTATAGTGAGCTATGATTATGCCATGGCACTTCAGCCTGGGTGACAGAGTAAGACTCTGTCTCTAAAAACAGAACATTAGGAAATGGCATGCTTTCCTCACAGGCCCTCACCCTATATCTCCAACATTCCTTCTTACTTTGACACAAAGGAGAAAAATTCCTTTGGAAGAAGTGTAGGGTGTCTACTTTAACCATTAACGAGCCACCAATGTTTCCAGCTTTGCCTCCTCAAAAAGTCAAACTCCTCTCCAGGTGTGAGTCAGACGCAATCCTTAAAAGATTTGGGAACTGAAAGTTTTGCTTTCTACAGATACCAGTTCTGAAGACCATAATCCAGAAATGTTCGTCTCAGTGGTTGATGATTACAATATACACATGTAGAATGTCACTGAAAACCATTACCACATGTCAAGAATGATTCTTGGCCACAGAAAGATCGTTGGCATGGCAATGCCTTGGATTTAGCTCTCTCTCTCTCACATCTCTCATTTATTTTATGCCCACACCATTCCATTGGGAGTGTGATCTCCTCACGACCATGGAGCCACTGGCATTGTTAGCTCATGGCAGTTCCAAGAGATGCTCAGAGAAAGATGTTCTTCTTCCTGGGGAGACCACCAGATATCCTGGAATGGGAAGGTCAGTGCTGTGATTAAAAGCGAGAATTCTGGAGTTAGAATAGAGTGAGGTTCCTCTCTCAGTGCTACCAGTGCCTGTTCAAGAACAAGTTGTGGGATTCCTATGAGCCTCAGTTTCCCCATCTATAAAATGGAGATGATAATGGAACCTCCTTTGTAGGTTTGTCAAATGAGAAGATTGACTTAGACAGCTGGAGTCAGGCACAGTGGCTCATGCCTGTAATCCCAGCACTTTGGGAGGCTGAAGTCTGACTACTACTTGAGCTCAGGAGTTTGAAATAAACCTAGGCAACATAGTAGCCGAGCATGGTGGTGTGTGCCTGTAGTCCCAGCTACTCAGGAGGCTGAGGCAGAAAGATCGCCTGAGCCCAGGAGGTCGAGGCAGTGGTGAGCAGTGATCATTCCACTGCACTCCACTCTGAGCAGAGTGAGACTCTGACTCAAAATAAATAAATGCAAATAAATAAAAAATAAATAAAAATAACGAACTTAAACAGCTGAGCTGAACAGTGGTACATAATAAATGCTTTGTGACAAATGTTAGTTTGCTAGGACCATTATTAGTAATAGTATAAACTAGCCCACCTCTTGAACTTTAATTGTATTTCCTCTACACAATCCAATGTTTATTCAGACTGTGTTTGGCTTCCAAGAAGATGGGGAACCACTTTTCCTGACAGCCATTCCAATTCAGACAGAGCTAATTTTTGGATTTTTTTTTTTTTTTTTGAGTCGGAGTCTCACTCTGTTGCCCAGGCTGGAGAGCAGTGGCACGCTCATGGCTACCACAGCCTTGACCTGCTGGGCTTAGGTGATCCTTTCGCCTCAGCTTTCCAAGTAGCTGGAATGACAGGCACATGCTACCACGCCTGGCTTACTTTTTGGTTTATTGTAGAGATGAGGTCTCGCCAAGTTGCCCAGGCTGGTCTTGAACCCTTGGACTCAGCCAATACTCTCGCCTTGGCCTCCTGAAGTGCTGGGATTACAGGCTTGAGCCACTGCGTCTGACTGGAAAGTTTTTTTATAATGTCTCTAGTGTTTTGCATAGGTAACGCTGCTAATTGAGTAAATAAAAATAAAGGATGCTCTCGCAATATTTGGGACATACATATCAAAAAATTTTTTGTTGTTTATCTAAAGTTAAAATTTCAACTAGGAATACTGCATTTTATCTGGTCACTCTATGCATGGGCCCTTAGTCAGACCTCTGGGAACAACATGGAACATGCCTATCCATATATTTAACTGATAGACTGACATCCTCCATCTCCCTCAATCAGTTGTTATACATCAAATGGTTTTGCCTCCCTGGACCATCCCCTACCATTCTCTATCCACCCGTTCTATCTTCTTTGAATTAGTTTGTTGGGCATCTTTTATCGCCCACAAGGATAGCCTGATGAGGATGGGGTAAAGCAATATGATTACCTCTTTTGTTCTAAACCATATACCTCTATTAATGCATCCTTTGTTTTTATTTCTTAGTGGTTACATGGCACTGGAAGGATTACTACAATACCGAGTTAAATGATATTAATATATGTGCGGCTGTCTTCAGTGACACTCAGGATGGTGAAAGAATGACAAAACCCAGGTATCCTATCTCTTGGGTAGAAACAAAAAAACCTTCACACCCCAAAAGCAAGTTCCAAAATACAAGTTAATCATGCAACAATATTCTATGAGAACGATCCTCTGGGGTGCCTCTGGGACCCCGTCAGCAGGAAAGCTAGAACTGCTGAAGGTACAAGACTGCCCACCTGTCTTCCTGGATTGAGGGGCTGCCGTGGGGTTAGCGTCTGGAGATAACAGGCATGGAGAGGAGTGGCGGATTTCAGGAGCTGGAAGGTCTTGGGTTGGAGTCGGCTGGGGGCTGGATTCAAGGCTAGACTGCTGTGAAGTGGATTCAGGGCTGGGCTGCTGTGAAGTGACATCGGGGCTAGGCTGCTGTGAGTTGGAGTCAGAGCTAGAATGCTGTGAGGTGGAGTCTCGGTGGCGTCTGGTCTCTGATCTTTTCTTCTTGACCTTCTTCATGGTGGGTCTTCCCAGCCTAAATGTGGACCTACATGGAGCTGCCTACTCTCCCGGCTCCCTCCTGGAGGAGCCGTTTGCCCTCTGCCCTAGGGGTCTGGCTCTGGCCTCCAACTGGACCCAGGCCCAGAGAACAGTCACCCCCACCTCCTGTGAGGTCATAAAAGCCAGGGTGGCTCCTATGGCAGGGCTCCGGGGACAGTGTTCTCTGTAGACACTAGTCCACTGTCCTTCATCCTCTCATGTTGCCTGGACAGGTAGAGGGCAGCAGCTGCCCTGCCCCTCACAGGCCTGGCTGGGCCTGACCGTGGGGTCTGTGACAACCAGACCCCTACAATTCTGGGACCGAAGTGCCCCCTTCAGGCACCTCTCCTCTGATGTGATCCTGGGTTCATGTGAGCTGTCTGTTTGGCTTTAAGACACCCTGGATGTGACACTCAGTTCTCTCACTGGTTTCCACATTAAAAAAACCCAAAAACGATGCTCATCACACACTTTGTGAGTTTTAGGTAATCTTCCTGGAGATTTGGGGCTTCTCTGAAGGTGTCACCTTCCATGGCCCAGAGCTTTCTATCATCTCAGACTAGGCTTCTTCCTCCAAAGCTTCCTCCAAAGCTTCTTCCTCCAAATCCTGTGGGAGGCGAGTTTGGGGGGTGTCCCGACTTCTCTAAGAACCCACACATTTTGGCAAAGAATTTTCCCTGAGAACATAATGGCTGTACAGAAAACGATAATTTCCTCAAACTCATTCCATTGGCAACAACAGACTAACTATCTCCCAAACCCCAAACCAGTTGCATCAAGCAGCGGACGGAATCTTTCTCTAAATTAACAATGTGATTTTCATTTCAGGACGGAAGAGGAAAAAAGCATTTTTAAGAGACAATCTAAACCTCACACTTTGCAACATAAAATGTGTTCCCACAAGGACACTTCACTTTCACCACGACTGCATCCCCCCGCATAGGTGGGTGTGTGATTGCTAAGCCCACGAACTGCAGTCTGAGAGCACGATGTTCTTTCCCCAAGACAAGGCTGAGAGCAGATCTAGCTAGGTAAAAAGGGCTCAAGGCCACACAAAGCCAGACTCAGGATGAATTATGAAATAATAGGACAATACTTTAGGGTTTCTGGAGTCTAAAAAGACCTTAACACTGAGGCTGAGAGAGGTAAAGTTACTTTTTCCAAGGTCACACAGCTGGCTGGGGCCACAAGTAGGGCTAAATTCCAGTTCAGGGTTCTTTCTTTTCACAATCCCAGAAGACAATAGGAAGTCAGATGATTAATACAGGCTTTAAAAATTAATGAATTAAAACAAAACCCTGAGTGAAAAGATTGATGATAACAATGGCATAAAGGATGAGAAGTGAGGGAAAGCTCAGATCAAGAGTGGTGGGTTGTATTGGGTTGACCTTGGCCTAAGGAGGTTCAGGGAGCAGTTGAATCTACAAGAAAATGGTAATTCCCTGAAGTCAAGAACAATGGGTCCCTCAAGGGGATTCTGTTTAAACTTAGACTAGAAACCTGGGCCAGGAGGTTTGTTGGGATTTAGTAGACAGATCAAGAACTCCTAAGGCATTCATCTCTCAGAAACTGGATTTTCTGCTTGCCAGGAGTTTGAGCCCAGCCTGGGCAATATAGTGAGACCTCATTTCTACAAAAAATTTAAAAAGTAGTGGGCGTGGTGGCACATGCCTGTAGTCCCAGCTACTCCAGAGGCTGAGGCAGAAGAATCACTTGAACTCAGGAAGTCAAGGCTGAAGTGAGCCAAAAATGTGCTACTGCACTCCAGCCTGGGCGACAGAGTAACACCTTGTCTCAGAAATAAAAAAAAAAAAAAAAAAAAGGATTTTCAGGTACCAATGGGTTTTGACTGAGGGACTCACCCTGGTTTATTTCTATTTATTTATTTATTTTTATTGAGTCGGAGTCTCACTCTATCGCCCAGACTGGAGTACAGTGGCCGCTCCCGGCCACTGCAGTCTCACCTGCTGGGCTCCGGTGATCCTTCCACCTCAGCCTTCCAAGTAGCTGGAATTACAGGTGCGTGCTACCATGCCCGGCTGATTTTTTGATTTATTGTAGAGATGAGGTCTCGCCTGCCCAAGCGGGTCTCAAACCCGCGAACTCAGGCAATCCACTCACCTCAGCCTCCCAAAGGCGCGGGATTATAGGCTGAGCCACCGAGCCCGGCTTTACCTTGGTTTAAATCAGGATTTTCCAACCTCAGTGCTACTGACATTTTGGGCTGGGAAATTCTTTGTTGTGGGAGGTCGTCCTACATATTGTAGGAACTTTACTAGCATCCCTGGTCTCTATCCATTAGCACTCCTCCTACCTCATGACAACCCAAAACATCTCCAGACATTGCTAAATGTCCTCTGGGGATGGAGTGGGGTGTCAAAATTGCTCCTGGTGGAGAATCCTTGATTTAAATGAATCAGATGGGAGCAGAAACATAGGTAGAATTTTTTGGTAGCAATGAAAGAAACATCCCATTTCACCCTGAGGCACAGAGAAGGGGTCTCTGTTCCCCAGGGCAGAGATGGGGGAGACAGAGAAGGCAGGCAGAGGGAGCGAAGGAATGAGAGTTTTTCTATGGCAGTGACCAAAATATGTGTGGGTTCTTTAGAAAGAGTGATCACAAGAAGCAGAAAGAGGGCACCCCAGGGAGAGGCTATACCAGAAGAATGAGGAAGAATAGTACTACAATAGTTCTTTGCTAGAAAGTCTTCCGTGTCCCCTCCTCCTCCTGCTTCAGCACAGGTTCCTAGCCTGGAAGTTGAACTCCTCCTCCATTAATATGGTTACAGCCCAGCCTACTGCCCCAGTCTTATTGGCCATCACACTACTACCTGTGTCCAGCTCTAGCCAAGGGCGAGCACCAGAAATCTTATGAACAGGCCTAACTTTCCTGCATTTTATGGCCCTTCCCCTCCATCACCTCCCTCTCCATCTCTATCAAAAAATTCCCCATGGTCAAGCCCCATCTCAAGTGGAGCAATTTCCTTATAAAGCCCTTCTTGAGATTCCCAATTGGATGCCATCTTTCCCTTTCTAAGCCCCAGAGCAACTGTTTGCATGACATTGGTCATGTTCTACATGACAGAAGGATGATTTCTATTCTTATCTTCTCTCTCATTCTCCAACCCCTAGACTGTGGAGATCACCGAAGGCTGCAGGCCAGAGTAGGGGCTCAGTGCCAGCTGCTGGACTTGAATGAAGGTAAAGGTGAGAGGACGGAGAAAGTAGGAAGCCATGAAAGCCGGCAGGTGAGTGTGGGTGATGGGGACCAGGCACCTCTGAGGCTTCCTCTCTAAAGGGGTTGTTTTCAAAGATAGGCTGGGATTTCTCTGGCCTCGGCTGAGGATCACAGTTGGAATAGCTCATAGACAAGGGGCCTTCCTTACCAGGTGTGCCAACCATGTGAAAATATTGTAGACTGTTTAGGGGAGTGAGAAAAATGGGCCTAAGGAGATTCAAAATGAGATAGGATAAGGTCCTGAGGGTGTTAAAATCCCCACCCAGAAGGTCACTGATGGTTCTGGCTCTCTGGATGTGTCCTGAGCACCCAGAACAAGCATGTCACCATTTGTCTTTGAGCTGGATGGCACCTCAGACATCAACTGGCCCTTGACCCTCACATGTCACATGGGAGGGAAACTGGTCCATAGAGAGAATGACTTGCTAACGTGCCCTGGTCACTAACTGGAGGGTGGCAGAAACTTGAGTATCCTGGTCTGGGGCTCCCCTGCTCAAAGAACTTCCTCAGTCCCTTCTGCTGCCCCAAGAAATGTGGAGCTGGCAGAAGTATAGTACCTGGTGCTCACGTAAGAGCCCACTGTCCAGGGCCCTTAGGCCCGCGAACTAACCCCCTGGAGCCACAGGCCTGGATTCCCTGATAGGAAGGGTCTCAAGGGTTGCAAAGAAGAATTCTGCAGTAGGCCAGCTTCTCGAATAAAAGTGCCATTCTTACAGGGGTGTTGTGAGGATTAGACGTGAAAAGGCCTTGGACCAGTGCCTGGCTCATACTAGCCACGTTTTAAATGTAATTATTATTCCCTAGAGAAGACTAAAGAAAAAGAAATGAGCGGATGTGGAGAGGAGGGAGTGGGCTCCCTCGTCCTACAAAATTCCAAATCAATACCGTACAAAAGTGTGATTCTAGGAAGTGGGAAACAATGCCCCGAGTTGAGGGGAGGGCAACTGCGTGGGAGGTGTAGCCCTCTTAGGTTAATTTTTGACGCTGAGATTGTGCCAGCGAATACACCTGGAGGTGACAACTCTAGTTCATCTCCACCCAAAACGGTACTCCAAGCTTCCAGGGGCGCCAGGAGAGGGGCCATGACATTGTGGGGGGGGGTTCTGTCCACTACTCAGGAGGGCAGCGGGATCAAGGGACAGGACTCTCCCAACCCCGGGGCATCCCCGCCGCCGGGCCCCTCACCCTCGGTCTGGGTCCCCTGATCCACCAGGGGAGCCCTGTGCGCTTGGCGGGCGGCGCGCTGGACGTCCAGGGTGCCCTCGGGGCGGCCGGGGCAGA